CATTTAATTTTCACAATGACTCTAGGGGTTGTACCATTACTAACTCGTATTGCAGATGAGGAAACTGAGGTTCAGAGAAGTAATATCACTTCCTAACTAGTAAGAGGCAGAGCTGGCTTCATAAACCCAATCCTGGAATTTCAACCACTACGTACATTACACTGTGCATGACATTGTTCGAGGCCCATGGGATACAGGGCAAAAAACACAGCAAAACATTGTCTCTGCAATCCAGGAAGTTGCATTTTGAGCAGTCTTCTGAATGTGTGCTAGACCATGGATGTGCCCAGAACACAAAGACTGGGAGGCCTTTTCTGGGGAGTAGCTGGTCTTCAAGGTTGAGGGGAGTGTGGCTGGGTTGAGAGAAGGCTCTGCTCCACCAGATCTGAACATTTTGGGCCACCCCGTGTCCAGGTAGGGATCCCCGCAGATGACAGCCCTTCCCTGGAAGCCCAGCACCCCCATTCACTCTACCAGCATATACTGTATGCCCATGGTGTGCCGAGACCCGATCCCTGCCTTGAGGAGCTCAAGACCAGCAAGGAAAACAGAAGCCAATAGTATAGTCCATGCTGTTTGGGGGGAAGTACAGCGGCTGTGGGGTACAGTGGGGGCACCTTTGCCAAGCTGGAGGGGGATTAGGGAAGGCTTCCTGGAGGAGGCTACAAGTAAGTAGGGTCCTAAGAGATGAGTAGGAGCCACCAGGTGAAAAAGGAAGGGGTATTTACCCAAAGGAACCGAAAACTTATGTCCGTACAAAAACCTGCAAGCAGATGTCTGTAGCAGCTTTACTTATAATTGACAAAACTTGAAAGCAACCAAAATGCCCTTCTGTATGTGAATGGGTAAATAAACTCTGGTACATCCAGACAGTGGAATATTATTCGTCACTGAAAAGAAACAAGCTATCTAGCCATGAAAAGACATAGGGAAACTTACATGCATGTTAGTAAGTAAAAGAAGCTAATCTGAAAAGGCTACAAACTGTGTGATTCCAACTTACGACATTCTGGAAAGGGCAAAACTGTGGAGACAGTGAAGAGATCAGTGGTGGTCAGGGGTTAGGGGGAGGGAAGGATGGACAGGCAGAACACAGAGGATTTTGAGGGCAGTAAAACTCTCCTGTGTGATACTATGATAGTGGACACATGTCGTTACACATTTGTCAAAGCCCGTAGAATGTACAGCACCAAGATTCAGCCTGAATGTCACCGTGAACCTGGAGCCATGATGCCGTGTCAACGTAGGTTCCTTGACTGTAACGAACGTCCTGCTCTGGTGGGGGTGTCGATGATGGAGGAGGCAGGGGGTATATGGGACGTCTATACTTCCTGCTCAGTTTTGCCGTGAACCTAAAACTGCTCTAAAAACTAAAGTCTAGTTAAAAGAAAAAAGAAGGGAGAGGGGACAGGTTGCAGGAAAGCTGAGGGGTGAGAGGGAGGGAAGGCGTGCCAGCTGAGATGCTGACAAGGAGATTTGTGTGGTCGCAGCTCAGAGGCTGGGGCTGAGTGATGAGAGGTGAGGCTGGAGATGTCAGCGGGAGCTGGAACAGGGAGGGCACTGCGGTTACACGTTATCCAGTGGGGACCATGAGAGGTTTAAGAAGGGTCAGATATGCAGGTTAGAACACTCCTGCCAGCTGCTGTGTGGGATGGATTGGAAGAGGTTGAGTGGATGTGGGGGACCAGCACCGGTAGGGACAGTGACAGTAGAGAGAGGCCACTGATCTGAGAGAGGTTTGGGCCCTGACTGCTGCTTTCTCCCCACCCCGCGCTGTGCCCTCCCAGAGTTTGTCCGGATGATGTCCCGCTGAGGCCACCAGGGCCCCTCCAGGACCGCCAAGCTCCAGCGGCGGGGAGAAGAGGAGCGGAGCCCACCTCAGCCCGCCGTAGCCGCCAGGGGCCCAGGACGGACAGGCGGATGGGGACTGCCTGCATCCCGGGGAGGTGCCCACCCCCGGACCCCCACCCCCTCCCGCCACCTCGTGAAGAACTCACGACTCCTCGCAACTGGAAAGGGGGGGCGGCCGGCCGTCCACGGAGGGCC